CCCGACCTCGATCTGGTGCTGCTCGGGCCCGACCCACTGCTGGCAGTCGTACCACTCGGACCAGTCCTTCTTGCTGGTCCAGGCACCCGGGCCGGCGCCCTTGCGGACGCAGTTGCGGCCGTCGACGTTGATGATTTGGTTCAGGATGACGTTTTGGCGGTGGTTGTTGTATTGGTCTTTTGTGCAGGTGTGTCCTGCGAAGGAGGAGCAGCAGATGTTGATTGCGTAGGAAGTTCCTGCGGCGGCGAGGAGGAGGAGGGGAGTTATTGAGGGGAGCATTTTGGTAGTCGATGTGGGGGTAATGTGTTTTGTGACACTGGTGGGGAGGAAAGTCTTGGGTGTTGGGGATGTAAGAGGTGGTTATCCAAGCCGTTTTTGGTCATTGATGAAGCTTTATATTCACAGGTCTTTGACTTCAGGGGATACCGCTTCTTGCGATGTAAGCGTTTATATCCGGACAGCCGTGTAAGCTTTTTTTAGTAGGACTCGTGGAATCGCGTAGGTTCACTTCTTTAATCTAGCACGCATTCTCGAGATTCCGTGTAATCTCGGGTCTCGGGCATGTAGTTTGCGGCATCTCGGCGAAGGGGCAGAGAAATGATCTAGACGTGGAATAAAAAGACTAATTGATTGAATACGAGGGAGCGCAGGCCAGGAACCGGTAGGAGTTGTCGCGAGGAAAGCTTAACTTGAAGGACTGGAAAGCTTATAAGAAGTCCGTGCTTTACTGGGTTGACCTTTGGATTGCATGCAGATGATCGTGACTTATTTCCTTCACTCCGTACATGTAAACCGAGCAAGATGCTCTGAAGCGCTGGGTCAGTGGAGGGCGGTCCTTGGTGGCGACGTTCGGGCAGTCTCAGTGCACGGCAAGATGACTAGCAACGAGATCATGCAGAAGCCAGGCTTCATCATTGGTAGCAGCTTGTCAAGAGCTAGAGATGACGATGAGGTCGTTGCTATAAGATCTGATTGGTCGATTCTGGTCTCGATAGGGAGTCAGCTCGATCAACGTGTGTTCTCATTCTGATTACTCCTTTCGGACATCTCCAGAAAGCGGAGAATGACACTACTGCAACTCGGCCACTTAGAGCATGCCGATCTCCGGAGCAGGAACCGCGGCCAACACTGCTATGGGGGAAGTGCGATAAGGTACCCCGATCCTTGTCCGGGTGGCTTTGGGGTTCAACATTGAGGAACGAGCTCCCCGCACTTCGGCCTGGACGAGCTTCTGATCCTGGCAACACCAGAGCGATATATCCGAGATGAGGGAGCGGCTTGATGCTTAACAGCATTCATGGCTCGAAAGAAACGAGATTATGTTCCAAAAGTCAAGGGTATGTCTGCATTCCCTTTCGAGATGGAATTCTAGCGTCGAGGAAAGGGCAAAGTGGTTAATGAGTTTCATTGTGGATAATAGGGTGTTACGAGTGCTCTCAACGTCGAATTGACTGCGATGGCACGCGCCCGAGTTGCGCAAAATGTAGCAACCGTGGGATCACATGCAGCGGCTTTGTTTTGAAGTATAAGTTCTTGGATGGCTTTTCATCACGACAAAAATCCACTTCTGGGGGTCGAAGTGCGTTGCTGAAGCATTCCCTCGCCCAGACATCGGCGCATGGTTCCGTGAGAGACAAGTCAAAGGTGCTTGAACCGTTTCGGGACTCACAAGCTTGGGACGACGTGTACTGGAATAGCTCGGCGCGTACTTACGGTGATGGGGGCGAGGGGCCTAGTCAGGGTGGTGGTTCAGAAAGAGATCTAGGATGCGACGTCTCTAACAGCAAAGATCATGCGGACGAAGAAGAGGAACTACCTTTGGGTGTCATCGACGACTTGTGCATCATATCGCAAATTTCCTGGCTAGATGCCGACGGTGTCTTTTCAGGGCCACTATCGCTAGTGAATTTCAGCGTGCTGGAGCCGTGGAAGGAGTTTCTACTCACTCATTGTAAGTCCAAGGTTTACTAATCATCATCAATCTTTTTTTGCTCTACGACCCTCTGTGAGTTTGGGCTCATAATGCGATTCAGTTTCAGAAGCCATCGCCCCAGAAATGGTAGTAGTTGATGACATCAACAACGGCTGGCGACGTTTGATCCTTCCAATAGCATGGTCAAACGCAATGGTAATGGACGCCGTTCTTGCCGTGTCAGCATTCCATCTTTCAGGGAGGGCGATGTTGCAGCCCGTAGTCAATGCGGACAGGCTTTATGCCTTAGCAATCAGCCAGCTGCTGAACCGTAAGGACCTGGCAGATCGAAGCGATGAGCCCAAGCAGCTCGTGGTTCTGGCCATTGTTGTGCTTCTGGTTTCTGTCATGGTCAATGGTATGGCAGACTTTCCTATTGTCTTCCAAATGCTGGAAGCCGCCATCACAGCTATTGGAGGTGATACGGCCCTCACGGATGGAGGAGAGTTGGGCAGCTTTCTTTTGAGGCAGATTCGCAAGTAAGTTAGTGCCTTTGTATTCATGTTCTGTTGGCTGGATCTCTTGCTCATAAATGCTAGAATGCGAGTCTACGCTGCACCTCTGGTCAGTCAGGATGCCGGAAAGAACGCAATTTTGTACCATGCGCGAGAGAGTTTCGACTGTCTCTACTACTACTACAACTTGTATCCCGATCATTGTCCAACGTTTGACCTTATCGCCGATATCCGCCAGCAAGCCTTCAACATGTACCTCTGTCGAGTGTTGACAAACGACAACGAAGCCCCTTTACTCCCCTCATGTATCGATGCTATCGAGACGTTCCAACGGAGCCTGCAGGCTTTCCCAGAAGGCGCACTAGGGGAACACATACTTGTCTGGCCAACGTTCATCGCTGCGCTCGAGTGTCATACCCTTGAGCAGCGCCTATTCTTTGAACAGTTTCTACTAAGGCAGTATAATCGTAACAACTTCTTGAACATCCCGAAGGCTTTGGAGTTTCTGAGAGGTATTCGGTTGCAGGATACTCTTCAGTCAGACTGGCCTGCACTTATTCCGAGACTTCGGGTTTTCATCATGTAGAAAAGCCTCAAGCTCAAGGAGCCGCGGGCGGGTTTTCAAATTGAAAATATCAACTATTAGTCATACCTCTAGATTTGATGCAGCGCCTGAGGTTTTTCTGCTTGATGACTTGGGATGGCGACATGCAGTGTTGCCCGCAAAGAAATGACCATATGTTGGTTGAGAAAAGAATGCGTCCTTTACGAGTAAAGATACATGATAGTTTCTCCAGGAAGAAAAAAGGCTCGTACCTATCATATGACACGTCCAAATTCTGTGGAGACATCCCTCGCTGTTATTGTCAAGTAAGATTCTCTAAGTGTATATCACTAATTGTCATAAAGAAAGCAAAGGCCGTTCTCCACAAAGCCGAATCGCCGCTGGTGAAAATTAAAGCTCAACATATGGTTCATTTCAACTAGAAGTATGCTTGAGCGGAGCTTGAAAGGTGCCCATTGTTGCTTACACGTAGTATTTAAAGAGCATGACATTTCAAAGTCACATGAACTCATTGGGAACTTCCGATCAGCCATTTAGGAAAGCGTTCAACCTTTCGGCTGCATATGGCTCAGCGTAAGAAGTCCGTCAGGTAACAAGGATTACAGGCAAATGCAATTTGGAAAACTCCTGGAGCTAATCTGCCAGGCAGCAATTCAGGGGTAAGTATCCGTACTTACTGAAGAAAGGCTCGTGTTGCCAAGCATTGAACATCACGATAGGGTGGGTGCACACACGCATTCTTTGATCCTATGCAGGGAAAAGAACTCAATAAAGTCCCAATAACGCTAGGCATCAGAAGAGGAAGGACATTGACCTCAACGGATTCGATGAAAGGTACTACAGGCATATCATACGTACTTTACCTAGGTACCTGCAGCGCTTAGCAAACATCAGTACTGTAGATACATCACAGCATGCATGTACGTCCGGAATTGCGCGGTCACAAGAACACTTCCATTTCCTGTTGCTGCCCGAGACATGTTTTCATCACAGGTATCTCCCCCATCTCACTAGAGGTTTATTCATTTTCGATCGGAGAGTCAATCACAATCCCGGTTGAAGATATTTATTCTCCACCCTGGGACACAGCAAGGGGTTTTACCTTCGTCACATCTCATGAACCTCGCGTCGGGCACAATGCGCAGTTTTAATTTTGTGGAACGAGGAGTGATGGGGCTATTGTGGGACTAGAAGCATGTCCAGTGAACTGAAAGAGCAAACTTTTATTCGTGGATTCCCAAGTTAGGATATGCTAGTGACATAATACATCCTCACCAAAGAAAGTTGAACTACGTGTACACTTAGAGCTCGATACTGTGTTCAGGTGCATAGATCTCATCCAGACATTGGTTTCATCATATTTTGCATCTGGTCTATGTTGGTTTCCTAGTATCAAAGCCAAGCTTCATACCCCGCTCTTTTGACGGCCGCTCCCGCAGGTGAAAAACTCATTTGAGTCATGGGCATTAACTGTGCCGCTTCGTATCTGCCATGAATTAGTTCCAACAACTTACAAACCAAAATTTTAATCCCTCACAACACACGATAATGCTTGCATTAGGGTAAGTGCTCACTTGATTGCAGCCATGCCGCAGGTGGCTCGTCTTACATGGTCAACAAATTCTTGGCGTGCCCTTTCTGAGCCCCAGAGCGAGTGCTAGGAACTGACCGATGTTTTGCCACCTAAGGAAATTGTGAAGTGATACTAAACATTAATACAGTGATAGCATTGATGTTATGTCCAAGAGTCAGACCGCGGTCATAAGTCGGCACTCTTACTTCAGCATATCCTCAAATAGCTAAGCTTGGTATAAGTGCAGTTAGGTCGAAAGTATTTAATGCATGTACCACTGCCACAAGCTGAAGGGGAGCGTGCCGTTACAAACTTCACCTTGTCTAAGGAAAGTCAGACGACTTGCAGGTTTGATTGCAGCCACCGAATCCTTTTCTAGCCTCAATTTCAGATTCAAACTCGATTTAACAAAAGCTGTGACCTACATCAGCCGTCATGCATTTCAGAGTGGTCTTCTTAGCTGTCTTCCTTGGTCCGGCAGCGGCCGACTACCTTCAAGATACTCATTCGGTCCATGAGAAGCGAGAGAAAAAGTTTGGGTTGGGCTGGTCAAAGGTTGAAACCAAACCCAACCCCGGAACAATTATACCTCTCCAAATTGCTCTCCAGCAAAATGGGCTTGATGTAGCTGAGCACGAGCTGTTGCGAGTCTCCGACCCATCTTCTCCCGAATTCTCCCAGCATTGGACTCGAGCCAAAGTCGATGCTAGGTTCTCTCCTACAAGAGAGAGAATACATACAGTTCAGACTTGGCTCGGGGAGGTCGGCATCGGTGAACAGCACATTCGCCGATCCGCTGATGGGGGATGGCTTTTTCTGAATACCACACTCAGAGTGGCTGAGAAGCTACTCAAAACGACCTTTGGTGTCTATCTGGACCCCAAGAGTAACGAAGAGCACTTGGCATGTGACGAGTACAGCCTTCCAGATTCGGTTCGCCCCCACGTGGACTTTGTAATGCCAACTGTGCATCTGGGCATGGGAACGAGGATTAGGCAAAGATGGAATCAGCCTGATCATTCAGATGACCGCCTGGTGGGAGCTCGCGGCGACTTCAGTCCTCGATCTCTTCACAAAAGATCCAACACTACATTCACTCTCGACAACTGTCACCGGTACATCACACCTGATTGTTTGCGGGAACTTTACAATATTCCCAGTACAAGCGCCATCCACCCGAATAACTCTTTCGGAATCTTTCAAGTCTCTTGGGCCTCTTGGCTTCCCAAAGATCTGGACTTATTCTTCGGTATCTTTTCACCAAAGTCTGTTGGCTTCAGGCCCATCATGAAATCCATAAAGGGTGGTTACTGGCAGGACGAGCTTCAAGGAACATACGTAAATGCCGAGGCCGACCTCGATTTTGAATACAGTATGGCCTTGACATACCCTCAGCCAGTCATCAACTACCAAGTTGGTGAGAAGTGGCAGACCGGGACGCTGAACGGGCTCATCGCGGCGTTTGACGGTTCATATTGCGACGCATGGAACTCCTCTATTGATGGTGTATACCCCTCTCCTTCGGATGATGGATATCAAAAGGCCCACGACTGCGGCACAGTCCGTCCAGCTAACGTTGTGTCCATTTCCTATGCCTGGAATGAAGTCTCTTTTCCGAAGGCATATCTCCGAAGGCAGTGTCTCGAGTTTCTTAAGCTCGGTTTGCAGGGTGTCAGCGTCATATCGGCTTCGGCAGACTGCGGTCCGGCGGGAACAGGATGTTCTTGTCTTGACCCTTCTACTGGCCAAGCATTGGGCCCGCTGTCGACATATGGCAATTTCAACCCCGTAGTGCCAGCTTCGTGCCCATACGTTACCTCTGTCGGTGGTACGCAAATTCGCGCAAATGGCTCTGTCTACGATTCCGAGGTTGTCTTTCGTCATTCCAGTGCCACACATATCAGCTCTTCTGGGGGCGGGTTTAGCAATCTCTTTGACGCACCAGAATATCAGAAGGACGCAATTGATCATTACTTGCAACGCCCAGATATCAATGAGCGCTTGCAGAACTTGACGGGGAAGTTCAATCCACTGGGACGTGGGGTCCCCGATGTATCATCCAACGCGGCTAATTTCGTTGCCGCCATCAACGGCCAATTGATGACTGTCTTTGGGACCTCCGCATCAGCGCCAGTTTTTGCTTCTATTCTCACGAATATCAACGATGCGCGCCTACATGTCGGGAAGAAACCCGTAGGCTTTGTCAATCCGGTTCTCTATTCTCATGCAACAGTCATGACAGATATTGTGGAGGGCTCGAACTATGGCTGTGGTGTTGAAGGATTCCACGCGGGACCAGGCTGGGACCCGGTCACCGGTTTGGGAACGCCTGACTACAAGAAACTCCTCACTTTGTACTTAGATTTACCTTGAATAAATACAGGACAAAGCTCATACTAGCATTGTGGTTGTGAGCCACAACCAAAGTCATGTATTCGCAGTCCTGACACCTCCACACTCGCAGACATAAGCCATCAAGTCTATTGTTTCACAAAATGCTCAAGGTTCTCGCTCCCTATGTCCAAGTTGTGTGGAGCACAATTTTCAGTTCATGTGCTTGTGGCTGGGAGAAATGCATCAAACTTTTCCAGCAAGTCGGCGTGGCCGTTAAATAGAACCTCCAGCTTGCTGCGTGCCGCTGCCTGCTTCTCTGCCCGAGCAGCTTCCCACTCTTCTATCGAATCCCCGGGCGGAACGTTTATCTCCTGTAAAATTTCAAGGAAAGTGGAATATTTCTCTGGCTGGCTAGCCTCGAACCGGTTCTGAAAAGTAACACAAGTTAGTGTATAGGTTGTCATCGATTAAAAGGGGCCTGACCTACCCGCACTTCCTGGACAAAGCCAAGCGACTTGTTGAATTCAGTTTGGTCAAACACAAAAGGTGTTGGGTCGTTGGATTGATTTGGAATGCTGGGGGAGTCGGCTGTCGAATCTTTGGACTCCATGTTTTAAAATGTTCCTCGAAAGAGGGAGTTCGCGAAAGACCGAATGAGATTCCAAGTTGACCTTGCGCATCAAAGTTTGCTGGCGTCATAAACCTGACCTAGAGTTGGAGAGCTCTCATTCATATACCCCCAACGAACTGAACGGGGGAGTTTTGGACGCTTTGAGAGGGGCTCGTGTTGTCCAGTTGCAGAAGGGCTAGGCATAGAGGAACCATTGCCGCCATTTAGTGATGAACTCAACAGGGGCTAAGGTCTTGGCCCCTCTGCCCACGCCAAGGCTGTTGGTCATGGTGGTTTGGTCTCGTTGGTCGGATGCCGAAAATATCTCGGTGTCCAATTTGAAGCATGTCGCAGCCTAAATTACACATGCTGTGCCGCAACTTCGCAACTGACTGCCCAGGCGCGAAAATTATGGTGAGACCACAGTACAAAAGGTCCTTTTGGTGGGTCCACGACGTGGCATTGTGCGCCTACTGCGGAGTAGACTTTGCATGATCACACATCGTATCACCATTTAGCTCAAGGCCCATAAACGACCGCTGAGGCTTTAATTCCTTAGAAATGGGTTTATGGGTTTTACTGATTAAGTTTATCCATTATCCTGTAAGATAAGGTAGGCAATGCAAGACGTGTCGATGTGAAACCCTTGAATTTGGATATATTCGGTTCTCTACACTATCAAATCCAGTTTTCGTAACCATGGTCTTTCTGTTTGAAGTTTTCTGAGTCAAAGACTTGCCCGAGGCGTACGTTGGAGGGCCTCAAGAACCTCCTTGGCTCCTTGCTCCCCTGAACATAGCGCCCCTTCCATGTAACCCTTCCACTCGGTCGAGTACTCTGTGCCAACGAAATGAAGATTGCCAACCGGTTTTCCGTACACATCAGCGTACTCTGTGAAGTGGCCAATCTCAGTGATGGGTGCAAGCGCTCCCTGGCTGAACTGCTCGTGCTTCCATATCTGATCAAAGACTTCGATAGGACGAAACGCTTCCGAGTCAACGTCGACGTTGAAAACCTCGGCTACCTGCTTTATAACAAGTTGACGACGCTCGTGGGGGTACAGCTTTGACCAATCTTCCCCAAATTTGCCGTTGACGAAACAGGTGAGAGCAAAGCTCTGGGTCTCGTCGACACTGGTGTCGCGTGCTACACAGACAGGTCCCTTGTAGCTCATGAAGAAACCATTGAATCCAAGATCTCTCCACCAAGGTCTGTCATAGTGCAAGATCGCTTTGTTGTAGTGTCCAAGCTTTGACGAGTCGGTGACCTCTCGGACCCTTTGAGGCAATAATGGTGAGATGTTGAGATCGCGAAGCATAGCGCTTGGCACAGAGATGATGGCCTTTCTTCCTAAGAAACGCTGGTTTCTAGACGTGATGACAACAACGTGGGTTTGATGATTCTCAATTGCAGCGACAGGGGCCGAAAGATGGATGTTGCTTTCTCCGATGAAGTTGGCAATGCCATTTGCGATCTGTTGCGTGCCTGATGAAGAGGATTTGAAGTGAGCAAAGTAAAAAAAAGCCTGCGGAGAGTGGAGCTTACCGCCGTGAAAGCGCTGATAGTTGCCACCCGTCTGATCATCAGCACGAATTGAGAATAGGCCCCCATTGCGTCGGCAATAGTCAATGAAGAAAGCTGCTGACTCTTGGCTGGAATCAACTCCATGCATCACTCTAGCCCATAGGTTGATCATCTCCACCGTCTTTGGAAGAGCACCAAGACTTCGCACATATTGGTCAAGAGATACCCCGTCGTCCTCTCTCCTAGGAGCTTCGCGCTTCAAAGAGACGGCTTGGATATGGTCGCGAATCTTCTCGAGGTTCTCCTTTTCCTCAACAGAAAACTGACCAGACGAGAGTGAGCTCTGAAATATGGTATACACAAATACACTAACGAAGTTGGAGAGATTTTACTTACCTCGGGTATAATGCCGAACGGAAACTCGACCCTACTGCTGTCGGCCAGCTGCATGACGGCAGTACCTTTGAGTCTCTGCGATACTGTCGGTAGTTTGAATTTCTTGACATATTCCGCCATACGACTTTGCGTATTCTCGTTTATCCAGGCAGCACCCAGATCAGCGACGCCTCGTCCAGAGGCCAGCGGCACGCTCCACGTTTTGCCGCCCACACGATCTCGAGCTTCGACGACTGCGACTGAAAGCCCGGCTTGTTGGGCGGAATAGGCAGCCTGAAGGCCGCTGAGACCTGCTCCAACAATGACGACGTCAAACATAGTATGTGTGTAGGTAGCAACTCAGGTTTCAGAACAGATTGGTTTAGTGCCAGATGGTTAGGATGTTGGGTCGTGAGGGGCTTGGACTCGTTCCAGATGATGCACAGCTCTGAAATGCATCTTGCACAAAGCTGCATACTTATATATCTTCTGCTCACGTCCCGGGTCCAAATGTCTAGACAAATCATGTGCGCTCACTCGAAACGATATAGCTAATTTGTGTTGAAACTTGGCAATATGCTCTCCTTGCCGAGCATTGTCAACTTTCTTCCCCATTGAGTAAATCGAATGAGAAACCAAAAGAGCATCTGCAAAGACCTGTCCCGGCTCAGGTCGTGAAAGTCAGAAAAGGTCCCCACTGCCGCTCATGGGGCTGACGTAGATGAAAGTCAAAGTAAGGTAGGTCATGACCTTTTACCCAATGTGGTAAACAAAAAGAGAGGACTACCTTGTTGATAGGCCGGTCTACTCTTGCCACCCCTTGCTGCATGGTATTTCCCCGCACCCGGTGATCGTCGACTTCCCCCGAGATCGGGGCAAAGAATCGGGGTTCCACATCCTCGGGAGGCCCGTCGGACAAGCTCACAAGCGCATATCAAAGGAATTCGAAGGCGTATTTGAGTCTGTTTCGCTATAAATTGCTTTCCAGCCTGTTCATGTCACATAGATCCGCGGGGCTTCACCATCCCGCGGCTTGTGCTTTCCTTCAGCCACCCTTTTGTTGTGAACAGCGTAGAGTACAACCTGGAGAACTGCGAATGCCATTCCCACTGATACCATGATAATCTGTGTTCTCAGACCCGTTTGGTAACTATGATAGATCAGCGATGATCACTGAACAGCCTTGTACTGCCGCAGTGCTGGGAGCTTGAAGTACTCACAATGGGGCATCATTCCCTCGATAATACTGCGTTCCGACCATCAACCCACTGATGGAGAGCATCACCCACATCCTATGCAATATTAGCGTGCCTGAGTTGGGAGCTAGGTCTAAGCAAAATGGCAACCTACGCAATACTAATACTTCTTTCGCCTGGTTCTCTACAGTTGAGTTGCACCCATGAGTTGTTGACAGGGTGATACCCAACCGCGAAGCTGTTCACAGCCGTCCAAAGCCCCCAGCGTGACCACTTGCCCACATGAGGGTGTGCCGTGCGCGCAACGACCAAGACAATCAGATAACAAAACTGAGCTCCTATTACTGAGAATCCACGCTTATTGGTCTTGTCACTGATATAGGCAAAAACGAAGACGACGACCAAAGCGAGTGACGCGCCCACTGCAGCAAGAGCATTGGCCTGGATGCGGTTGAAGCCGAGATTCCTGATCCAACGTGTAAGTCATGGTACAAAAGAAAAAGAAAAACGAAAGCTTTTGAGCAATCCTGAATCATTTTGTCCAACACTCACATAATGATGGTAGGCGTGTAAGTGGTAAGAGGGCTCCAGGTGGAGAAGACGGCAAAGCTGCTCAGAAAATGTGGCCAGCGTTTCCAGTGCAGAATAGTCTTCCATACGAGCTTTGGAGGAATTCGCATTCCTTGAGCGCCGCCACGCTTCTCTTTGTCATCTACCTCTAGGCGCCTTTGTATGATACTCTTCTCTGAGCCTTTGAATCGGATGAGACCTGGGCTCAACAGCGGATCGGGGGTGTCTGGGGAACCGGGCAGAAGGAACAGTAGCGAAAGCCCAACAAAGATAGTAAACACGCCCTCAACTAGTCTTGATCAGTAAGCTTGAACCATAGATAGAAGTATCGCTGAGGAACCTACCTAGGAAAAGCCACTGCCAGCCACGCAGCCCACGTTCGCCTTCGAGCTTGAGGATGCCAGATGCCAGTATAGGGCTCAAAGCGTTTCCGCTAAACATTCCGAAGAAGCTTTAGAGGGTCAGAATAGATAACATTTGCTCACTCCAATGGCACTGACAAGATTGCGATGCGTTTGGCTAGTTCTTTCTTCGTGTACCAAGTTGAAAGGGTGTAGCAGGCTCCTGGAATGTAGCCCGCCTCCGCAAGACCAAGCATCATACGCGAAGCCAAGAAACCCTTGCGGTCGACTAGAAATACTTGCATAGTTGCGACGAAACCGAATAGAATTACTTGGCTAGAGATGTACTTGCGCGGCCCAATCTGATTTTCAATCTGTCAGCACCGTGGTCTCTGAAGGAACATAAGAATCATATGTATCAGTACCTAGACCACACTTACCTTTTGCAAGAGCATATTTGAGGGAATTTCTAAGATGACGATTCCCAGGAACATCAACTGATTTCCCAAATTAATTGTGTCCTGATTTACCCCGATGTCATTCGCAAATCCGCCGGTGAGCGCACTTGCAAGATTCATGCGGTCAAGTTGGAAAACAAGCAGGCCCAAGTACAATAGTGGAAGCACCGAGCTATCGATTCTACAGCAGAAATGTCAGCAAACCTTTGTCGGCGAGTCCTCTTCCTGCCATGTGTCAACTTACTTTCGACGAGCTCGTATTTCCTCATGATGCGTCCAGTCAGGCTCTATACCTGGTGTCACTTGTCCTGGCGAGTCAATAGACTGCAGGCTTTCCTGCTTCGACTCACTCATTTTGTCGTGTGCATAAGGTGGCAGGATGACTGAAACCTGAAGCTGTTGTCTCTTCTCCCTGCGAAAGGGGTCTGGTCATATTTTCAAAGGCAGATACTTCTCATCGAACCTCTCATTTCGGCATTTGGAGCTCAGAGGCTATCCTTCACGCCATCTTTAGCTTTACGGAACCCCAGGCATATTGAGACTTCGTGTACGAGTGTTACTCCAATCCATCCTTGCATTTCAAAGACCCATTCCGGTGCCATAGTCTTGGGAACGTCACGCAATCGCCCCCAAACCACAGTCTAAGGATGTGCCATGCCGGCAAACTCACTTTGATTCAGTTAGACATCCCGACCGATGGCTGGATGTTGTCGAAGCTTCCCCACTTTTGGTCTGCAGTCTAATGGCTATGACTGCCATCCTACCGAGCACGCAATCTTTCACCATCGCGCCAAGACAAACCCCGAGCTATTTATTCAGTACTGACTGTTATCGGGATTTGAACTTTTAAATGGCGGAAGATAAAGGTAGACAGCGTGAGTCTACAATTTTGACGTGAGATAAGCCCTCTGAAAATCTCATTGAACATGAAAAGTTCCGTTTAGCTGAAACCGCCTCCTCGTCCTTGGCCTTTTGTGTTTGCTTGTTTGCTTGAATGTTTGGTTCTCCAACATCGGATCCAATCTGCAAAGCTAAAGGCCGTTTGTGTCGTTTATCGGCCAGTGCCCACTTCTACGTAGACAGCAACATTAATAGAAAACAATACGTACAGAGAGGTGGCGGCGACCGACAGAGTAGGGGTTCTGCGGAGTGTGCCATCGATCTACTAGTCCAAGTTTGTAGGATTGAATCCCGGCGAAAAGCTCTGTGTGGGGCTACGGTTCATGGCGAATCCCTCCGATTACCGCTTCACCACTCCTCTTCAATCATAAGACGCCAGGAAAACAGTCTTTGAGTGTCTTTTGGACAAACCTCTGACCATACAGCCACCCAGAACCACCGCTGCAAGTTTATAAAGATGGCGAAAGAAGGGAAGCCCGCCAAGCGCATTGCAGTCATCGGCCTTGGTCCAGCCGGTGCCATCACGATCGATGCTCTTGCCAAAGAGCAGGCATTTGACATTATCCGGGTTTTTGAGCGTCGTGAGGCTCCTGGCGGATGCTGGTGAGTCGAAATAAATCTTTACGTGAGGACTGGATGGAGAATATGGAGCCCTTCAAACATAGTCCATCACAGACCGAGTAGTCACCCGTGTTAACAATATCTACAGGCTAGGTGAAGGGGAACCACCGCCGCTCATTCAATCAGATGAGCTCAAACTTCTCTCCTCCCGAACGGCAGACCTCCAGCTGCCAACAATTCCTTCCAACCTCCCTGCTCAACTGCCTAAGTCGAGCTCCCCGCGGTATTCTGAATCCACAGTCTACCCATACCTTGAAACGAACGTAGACTTCGTCCCTATGCAGTATACTCAAGAACCGTTTCCTACTGAGCAATCCGAACACTCAAGATCACTCCACGGAGAAGACACGCCTTTCAGACACTGGTCCCTAGTCCAGGACTACGTCCGTTCTCTGGTCGACCGAAGGGGCTACGGTGACTTCATCAGCTACAATACTACCGTGGAGCGAGCTGAGAAGGTGCCTGCAGCAAGCGGCTTCGGTGAGGAGTGGAAGTTGACGTTACGCAAAGATGGTGAGAACACTGATTACTGGTGGGAGGAGAGATTCGATGCCGTCATTGTCGCATCCGGGCATTACAGTGTGCCCTATATCCCATCCATTGACGGCCTGCCCGAGTTTTCTAGAGATCGTCCGGGAAGTGTGATTCACAGCAAGCACTTCCGAGGTCGGGACGCATTCAAGGGCAAAAAGGTCGTGGTAGTCGGAGCCTCTGTCTCAGCAGGAGACACTGCATTTGATTTGACCTCTGTGGCTCAAGCACCTGTATACGCTGTGGTGAAGGGACATACGTTCAACGGGTACTTTGGCGATGAGGCTTTCAACCACCCCCTGATCAAGCGGGTCGCCTCCATATCTCACATCGAACCGACCACTCGGACTGTTCACTTCGTAGATGGAACGTCTGCTCCTGGTGTAGACGACATCATTTTCGGCACGGGTTATAGTTGGACACTTCCTTTCTTCACGCCGCAGTCCTCCACCTCTTCGACCACGGCCAAGCACACACCAGTTCCTACCCCTCGCAACAACCGCATCCCGAATCTCTATCTCCACACAATTTACACGCCAGATCCCACGATCCTCTTCGTCGGTGCCGTCAACGCAGGCCTCACGTTCAAAATTTTCGAATACCAAGCCGTTCTCGCCGCACGACTGCTCGCAGGCCGCGTCCCATCCTCTCGCCTCCCATCCACGGAAGCTCAGCTCGCTTGGGAAGTAGACCGTATAGCCAAACGCGGCGACGGGCCGAAGTTTGCGCTCGTATTTCCAGACTTTGAAGAGTACTTTGAGGAGTTGAGAAGAATCGCTGGTCCACCCACGGCAGACGGAAAAGGACGAGAGCTGCTGCCTTTCAATAAGTTCTGGTTTGAACGGTTTATGCAAGGTCACGAGCGTCGAAAGGATATGTGGAGGAGGTTGAACGCACAAGCGAGGGAGACACTAGGAGTGAGAGGTTCTGACGGGAGTTTACGCCCAAAGTTGTGACGATATTGGAGCTTTGCAGAGGTCTAGATTAGGGTTTTCAAGTTATTCTGTGTCCCAGTAAATTTTGTGCATCAAGAATTGTTTAAAATGTTCTGTGGCAAACTACTTTTCTGCAAGCGAGCAACGTCTTTTGGCTTAGCCGACGGACTGACGGAGAATCTCAAGCGTCCTCCTGCTTCCATTGAGGTATTGTGTTTCAGCATTTCCGTCATGCCGGAGCCTGTGGGTATGTCGAAAGACGGACCCTGCTTTGGTGTCTTCGGCGTGTGCGACTTTGACGCTAATTACCGCCTTGCGATCTGCAGCTGCCTTCTTGGTTAGCCTGACGATCCAATTCAATATTTCCGTATGTTCCTCTCCACGTGTCAACTACGTGGACTGTAATCGTTCTGCGGACTTTTGCGTTCGAAGTCAGCATGCAATCCCTCTGGCATCCGCATATGCACCCATCCACACATATAGCCTTTGTGGCGTGCGATTAGCAGCCGGATTTAGTATTCATTGCGAATTCAATTGTGTTTATTCTCTGCAAGATATGCTTGCTTGATCGCAGTAGTAAAAGTGCGTTTATGTGAGTGAAAGTACGAGTGAGGGTACTTCTGAGTGAATTCAGTCGCGAGTGGAGAGTGGGACTGAGGCTGAGACTGAAAGGAGCAGTAAGACTAAGAGATATCACAAGACATCGGACGAAACATAACGACCACCCGAGTGAATCTTGTAGACAGTGTCTCATCCACCTAGGAGGTACTCATATCAGATTTCTTCAATCGGCGTAACATGAATCATTCCAATAATCACTTTGCGATGCACGTTGCAGCCTCTCATTAGGTCGCAGCTTGCAGGATAGGAGCATCGCTATTCGGGCCAGTAGTCACAGAGGAATCTTTCTATCTCTAAGTCATGTTTTATCGTATCTATTTTTTTAGATCCGCAGTACATGCTGGAAGAAACGATATCAAGCAACCATAGAGTGTAGACTGGGTCTCCCAGGCCGAATATTAGAGCCAAGGTCAGAAGAAGGATGTCATTCAAGATAAATGCCTATTTAACAATGCAGTCCTCTCCAACGTGGTCATTCCCAACAACAACGTACCGTGCTTAGAAGGTTTTTGATGCACAGCTATGAGACAACTAACGCAAATAGGAAATATGTTTAATAACTAATAGACAAGATAATATGTTGGCTTCTTAGGGAAACAACTTCTGAAAGAAAAAACACCGAGCAGAATCCTACCAAGTGCACCTAATCCTTGGCTTATAATTTGACAAGCCGCAATGAAACACCTCGTCATACTGAGAATCCTGGCGGCATCGAATGCCGCTAACGCCCGGGCACTGCATCTTACCTGGCTCATCCTGGGAACCAGAGTACACACATCCTTCGACACCATGAACATCAAACTCGCCGAGATTCGTGGGGAATTTTGGGTTCGATGAAGTGGTGGCCGCCGCGAAGGCACCCTTGGGCTCATCATCACAGATATCAATAGTGCTCCCTGTTGCGGACTCGTAAATGATCCAAGAACGAGCCAAAACCGACTCAGTGAACGTCTCCCTGAGGCCAATGAAGACGAAGTTTGGACGGGGATGGTCGCGGAGCTGGGTACAACTGTTCAGCCAGGCGGCAATAGCGCCATTTGTGCGGTCGACGGCGACGTAGCTGGCCCGACCTGTGTTCTGAAGGATGGCGTACCTCACATCACTTCCAGACACCCCGACGCCGCCGGCGATCTCAGGCTGTTCGAGCCAGGTCGGCTGATTGGGATAATTGTTGAGCCAGACCCTAGCGGCGCCATCGCGAGCACGTGTCCAGACATAGTCGGCCTTTCCATCACTAAAATTCTTCATGTTAGTGAATGATCTCAAGAGTGTGGAAGAAGCAGGCGTGCAGAGCATGGAAAGAGCCAGTGGCGGACATGAACTAACCCATTAATGTCAACAAAGTCAATTTCTTCAGGTCTCTGCCCAATGCCTGAAGCGTCAGCCTCCGGCAGTGGTCTCCAACTTGATGGCGGCTTGTTAGTTTCCCAGACGTTTCTGTAAATTGTTATTCCACCATTCGACTTGAGAAATATGTAATCATCATAGCCGTCGCCATCGATATCAGCGAAGCGCACATTCGCGCCGGGTCCCAGGCCGGTGGCGATCGATCCGACAGGGTCCCAAAGCCACTTCTCTGCCTTGGATTCATCGGGCCCCTTGTTCAAATACGCGTGTAGTTCTCCTGTTTTCGGGTCAAGGACCAAATAATCGTCTTTTCCATCACTTTTTGGAATGTTAGTTTGACTTGAATACCATAGCCGTATTGCAATTAAACACAAGGAAGCACAAAACTTGCCCATTAATGTCTCCAAAGTGAACAGTGTTTCCTGGACCAGCTCCTGACGCGATTGGATTTCCATTGTTGACTGGACTCCATAACCACCCCAGAGCATCATCATCATTGGGACCCTTATTCAAGCTTAAACCTTAAGGTCAGTCAAATTCAGTCATTGATAGCCACAGGTGACCAAATTGGATAGATGAAACTCACAAAACGGTCGGTGCCCCGGTGTCTGGATGAAGCCAAACATAGTCTTCAATCTGTAAAATAGTGAGCCAAGATTGGGTTCTAGTTTCAGTGACTATCGTTTCGGAAGAGGATAGACAAGGGAAAACTAACCCCATCGCCGTCAATATCGGCAAATCGAATGCCATCGATGACCATGGATGTGTCGGCATCACCCTGATTATACCACAGCCAGATAGCCCCGTTGTCGTCAATTTATGCGTAGTCATCTTTGCCGTCTCTGGGACCAGGACAAGAGAAGTCAGCAAAGATGGCCAGCTTCGTCGAGTCGAATGAAGCAGTATCAACTCAGTGCAACTCACCCATCCATGTCAGCCAGTCTAATGTTCTTCGGATCTTGCGTGATACCATCTGCAATCGTTTTCGCCTGCCCCTGATTGACGTAAAGTGGCACTCCTTCACTTCTCGTTGGCTGGTTCAAAAAGCCTGTGAGACCTGCCTGGGCGTCCCAAATGAGGTAGTCGTCGCGGCCATCGCCATCCACCTAATTACAGGCCGTGTTCGTTAGTCCGTGAGAGAAAAGCACAAAGGAGTGAGGAAATAACCCGTGTAGAACTTACGTCGGCGAACACAAGATTTGAGATATCAGATGTGCCACCAGTAGCAATGCCCCCTTGAAAATAGAAGACCACATCTTGCCCTCCTGCAGTCCCTGTGTTCATCCAATGGGAGAGAGACCCGCCAGCTCCAATATACACGTAGTCCGCGCGACCATCGCCGTTGATGTCCGGGAATCGGAGTGTGGCCCAGTTAGCATGAGGAACACCAGATGCTATTTGACCTCCGTCAATAAACTTCCATCCATTGACCCAGGACTCGTCTGCTCCATAGTTCCACCAGATCTTCACTGCTCCATTTTGCGGGTTGACGATCATGTAATCCTCGAGCTAGTTATAAGTTTGGTTAGCAGAGGTTGATTTAGGACGCATAAAGAGACATAAGTGAGTCTGATTAGATTGGAAACATACGCCATCACCGTTCATATCCTATAAGCCGTTAGCGAATCTTCATTTTTGAGGCTAGTTGCAAGAAAGAATTCGTCATGAATGACATACCGCCAAGAAAACAGACTCTGCAACACCGGCACCACTGCCGATGATGCTATTGTTCGTCCCTGCTGGAGACCACGGGGCGGGAAGGTTGTTGATCCAACATCGTATCTCTCCATTTTCAGGATTGAACCATATGTAGTCTGTACGAAACGATTGTCAAGTCAGACAGAGCCCAAAGCGTCTCTTGAACGGCAGCAGTGACTTACCTGCTTTCCCATCTCCATTCATATCATGCAGTGTGCGAGAGCTCAACGGTCAATTAAACACTCCAGCGAGAAGTTTTGATGGTCCAGTGACATACCGAACGAATTTGGAGTCTAATTTGAGTCCATCAGCGACTTTGCCCGCTTCGATCCAGTTTTTGCGATATTGCCAGCCGCCAGCTTTTCCAAAGCCGGATGCGATCATGCCTGTGGCTCGCCACACTGGCCCGCCCTTGCAAGTGCGCTCCCCGCCGCTCCCACCGAGAAGAGCAGCCGTCCGAACGCTGCTTCTCGAGCTCACCTGGATCGGGTTGATTCCCCAGCTCGGAGACGGGATAGCCCCATCTAAGCCGCCGTTCGCATCGATGCCGGGTAGTGTCGGTCGGTCTGGGTCGTCGCCCACAGGTTGGCGGATCCAATCGGAAGGGATCTGAGAGATGAAGTCATACCAGTAATCGCCAAAGTCCCGGTAGCCTTGATTTGTTGGGTGAATGCAGTCCCGAAGAGATCCTGTAGGGAAAGTAGTGAAATCGACCGCGAGAACGTGCTTGCCAATGGCTCGACGAGACTGCACGATGCCCGGAATGAGAGCCTGGTACTGAGCTGTATTCACCTGCTGGGCTTCTTCACAAGTACTGATGATCATAGCCACAAGGACGACGGCGTCCGGGCAAGCGTCCACAATCTGATCGATAAGCTTGCCAAGCCGACTAGCCGCTCTGCTCGGATCATTGCCTTGCTTAGCAATATTAAGGTTAGGATTCATGTCGTTTGTGCCGGCGTGCACAAGGATAATATTCGGCCGTTGCTCTAATGAGCTGCTAACGTGTTCCGAGATGTACTGGATCGTCTGGCCTGACCATGCAGCCTGTTGATGAGATTTCGTTCAGCAAGGCTCAGTGTTTGGAGGTTCCCAAGTTTCGTGGCTTACAAAATATCCACCAGACATCGTGCCTCCAGCAGACTCAGTCCCCACGAAGACAACTTCATCCTCTGGTGATAGTGAATTCGGTTGTCAGCAAACAACGTCGTAAGACAGTATGTGAAGTAGCCAGGGGTAGTTACTTACTTGACAAGTCTTGTTGCAGCTTTAGTCTGTAGCCGTTACCGTCGCCTCCATCCCTCTCGCTGAGGAATCCAACAGTGATGGAGTCTCCCACGCCGAGAATGCGTAGCTTGGTCCCTGGCTTGATGACCTGGAGCTACACCTTTGAAGGTCAACTTGTCACCAATTTCTGTACCAGCCCAGGTTCTGTATTTTTTCAAGTACTCCTGCGGCAAATCGGCCTCAGTTACGACATCAGCTCCGAGGAAGAGCTCTTCGGCATCAGCACCCGCTTCTATCTCCTCGCCAGAGGGACACTGGGGGTCCCATGTCAGATCACCCACAGCGGTGGAATTAATGATGGTGACCGTTCCGTCGGAATGCATGGTAAAAAGATCACCAACTGTAAACGCGGGTTCGACTCCTTCCGTGGGTGGGCTCGAGGGGGGTTCTGGGGCGAGAGGTAGGTGAGGATAAACATTTCCTAGCGCCTTTTGCACATATCTTGCCATGGCATACAACGTCAGATTCTCGCAGCTCTGGGCGATCCAATGGCCTGTGTCGTATTTGTATCTCGCAAGAGTCTTTGCCATCTTCGGGCTGTAGATCTGCAGAAGCTGGTAGGCAGGTGGAGACTCCCCTTCCTTTGGTACCCACATCTTGAGGTCTCAAGGTATTCGACGGCCGCTGCTTCATTGAAGTTCATTGTGGAAGCCTCTGAGTACAGCAAATTCATGATCTTCCAGGACTGCTGCCAGCCAGAATAAATCATGGATATCTCTTTCTCATCACATCCGTTCCAGTCAACAAGACTGGTTGAGAGATCGGTAATATTGCCGTCAAATAGGGACATGTCGTACTCACTCGTTGCTAGAGCATCGTGGAAATGATTTTCAGCCTCAGCAACGGTCAGATCCCGATGTTCGAGCGGGGTTGGGTGAAGAGCTGCCGCTGTCACAGCAGTAGCTAAAGAATAGCCGCAAAGGGCAATTCTTGCTGGGTGGGCTACCATCATCGTTCTGACGGATTTCGAGAATTGAAACTGAACAGAGCACACGAGTATTCTGAGAAACGCACTTGGTTCACGTGGGAAGCCACAGTCAGTCATAACATCAAGTCGATCATGGTTTTATACATGAAATCGTGGTAACCTCTCCGACGCCCATGTCCTGTCCAGCATGAGGAAACTTCTCTTTTCCTTAGCCGCCGTCACCGCTCGTATCGGCATCATTTCTCTATCGAGTACAGGGTCACTTAAATCTAATCCTTGGTACTACTAGCGCCCATGTTTGAGATATTGACGCGAAACTTCCAGTTGTGCGAACGGATTGATCGGTAATAGCGAAAGAAGCAGAAAGTCTCATGATTCATCCTTTGTACGGGGCTCATGCAGGCTGTGGTTGTGGATGTGGAGAAAAGCCTCATCAAACACCCCAGCATTTTAAGACTTTTGTCATGGGCATCAACCAACCCAAAATGTGACATGCTCGTGTCCTGAAGCGTTAATTCGTTGTTAAGAAAGGCAACATCATTGTTGGAGCTGTAGACTCTTGACATTGCAGGGGTTGTCTAGCTCGTGTTGACAACCAACAGACATTTCAGAACCAACAACCGCTGAAGACCAGCTTGGCAAGCCTGACACCCGCCAGTAAAGGTCTAGCTTTGTGGGCAGCTCATGTTCAAGTGCCAACCTACCCAACAGGTTCCGCTCTTGGCTGACACCTTCCTAATAAAGTCATCGCTGGGACATGGTGAGCCGCCCGCAGCGCGTTGAACCACGATTTGCATGCTAATTATGTCAGCAGAGTCTAATTCTACCCCACAGTCAAAATGCCAACAGGCAACCGCAACCACACACCATTCTACTTGGATCTGAACACATCCTTTTCAACATGATAATCTCGCCATCCATTTTTCTTGCCGTAATCATGTTCTTTGCGGGGAGCCTATTCAGGTCCTCCGCAGCTGCGGCGAGTCAACCAGGCTTGGCCTCCACGCGGACCAACAACATCCCCGACTTTGAGGTTACGGATGATGATGCCGGCGATGACCCTGAGAGCTTCCAGATGGAGCCTTCTATCGATAATGCACGATTTCGTTCCAACTTCTATCCATCCTACACGATGGTTTATGGGTGGCCTAGCACTGGAGGCTTCTATATGTTGCAATGCGACGGCGTAGACCTCGAGTTCCTTGGCGTTGACCGCCTCGTCCCAACACCGCGGAGCGATGATCCAGCGGAGGAGGATACTCACTGTATCAACATGCGCAAACTCGGTGCCAAGTTTTACCAAAGCGATTGGGATTACTATCTCAAGACCACCACACACGAGGATCTTCAGGATCGCTATCAAAAAGCGATGGAGCTTGGCAAAGATAATTTCTTCGCGGCTGAAGAGGCCAATAAGGCCGCCGAGAAGTTCATCAAGGTTTTTGGATGGCCGACAACCGGTGGAGTCTGGGCATTGAAGGTGTCCACGGACAAAGTCCACTCGTTTGGCATCAGAAACGCCTTCACGATGGACGAAAAGTGTCGGGCGATTGAGATGATGGGGGGAGTCTTTTATGCCGACCCAAACGAGTGCCCAGATTTGGACCTTGTATAGTCAAAGCTGGACTCGAGCACATTCGATATTTTGGGTTGGAACTGGTCGGTAGATGCTTTGCCCGTGCAGCAGATCAAGCCCTCCGTCGATTGCTTTAAGTACTTCATTCTTCTACTGAATTAAGAATATGACTCGTTCGATACAACAAGATTAATTCCAAGTGCACTGCGATAGCACCAGCCATGTTTCATCGCTCGGGCAACCCTTCGTAGTACTCGTGGTAGCATTTGGAGATTGCCTCAACTCTCGAAGACTGAGCTCACTGGGAATATAACTTTATCAGAAGTGGAAGCCAAGGACGGACGAATAACATTGGGTTCGGGCGTTTGTACTTGAGGAAAGGCTGAACTCACAAGTGTAAATAATAGCTAGCCTTCCCAGATCGACAGCTACTGGTAAGCTCAATGTCCACACCATCCTCTCGTCTCAATCTGAGAAGCCAACATCATCACGTGCACGCTACCTTCTATCTTATTATCCGGATTGTTATAACAACTATCTTAGATTTCTCGTTGCTTTAAAGCCTAAAACTCACGTGGCATCACTTTCGTACCCGGAATCCCCGAAACCCTTATTTCGAAAAACACTCGACCATCTCGAGACCATGAAGCCTTCCGCGCTCCTCCTCTTTGCCACCCTTATCTCGCCCGTGTAGCACTCGCCACCATAGCTGAAAAATGTGGAAGCCTCGGGGGGTTACATACACTGCCGCCTTCCTCGACACCAGCGGCGTCGACGCCGTCCAGGTTCGCGGCTTCGTGAAGCACCCCTTGGCCTGAACCCTCGATCCGGGCAAGCCGTCGGACCCCGCCCGCAGACGCAGACGCAAGGCGCAGGGACTACGGACGAGCATGAGGAGGGAATCCTTACCGTTAGCCGCTCGTGGTGGCATCATCGCGGCTGGCACAATAGCTGTGACGTCGATCCTGGCGAGTATGGGTGCTCGAGGGGATCATGCTACAAGGCGTGCGGTGGCAATGGGCGGTAGTGCTAGACTGCGAGGAACCGGGGGTTCGGATCACGAAATATGTGCGACCCGAAGTCTGATTGTGCGATTTTAGACGATGTCGGGTGTGTTAAAGGGTGCAAGGCTTATGGTTGCAAGTGATAGTTGAAACGTTCTTTGGTTTGTCGCGGTCTCGCCTTGACTTCGCATGCTTTCCGCCACATTTCAAACTTTGATTTAGCAAGCTTAACATCATCGATAATTCGACAATGGTATTACATTTCGAGTCTCCGTTCTAAGTGCAGACAGGTCGATTCTCGTGGATAGTAGTGGCGTTTGTCCGTGCATGTAATGATCATGCACCCTTCCGCAAACCTCCTCGAATCCATCAGCTTGTCAAGTCTTCATGTCAGACGTGTCACAACTCAAAATCTGACGACTGGTTAGTGCACAGCATTAAAGTATAGGAATTACCTCACAGATACCCAGCATCATTCAAATACTGTACTCCCCACAGGACCAGGTCTGGTCGTATGAAAGGATTCAATGGCAGAGAGCAACAAACATGTCTTGACTAGAAAGGCATATTCGATGATGTGCGCGTGCAAGTCCATGACTTCGCAAGGGTAGTCATCTCCGTAATCAGAGTGTTAGTCTTTCCGTTATTTTGGAGACTTCTCTACCAGGCTACTTTCTACATGATCCGGAACAACTCATGAGGTTGGTAAAATTACTCGATACCCTGTCACGACCAAGAAATAGAACTAAGAGTCCAAGATACCGCTGACACCTACTCAGGTCGCTCATGTACCGTTACTCTCAACCCCTTGGAATCCTCCGGCATCACAGGAACCACGGTATCGCTCGTGATCACGAGATCAGCAGCGGTCGTCTCAAAGAGCTTCAAGGTTCCGACATCATCTTTCCCTTGAACCTCCTCCGACCCATAAACCCTGAATAGTGCCGCCAGCGTGAGGTAGAGCTCCGCATATGCCAGATTGATACCTAGGCAAGCTCTGCCACCCTTGCCGAAGGACACTAGATAGCGGTCCAGCAAGGGGTCGTTAACCCAGCGCTCAGGCTTGAAGGTGTGAGAGTCAGGGAAGACACGCTCATCGTGGTGCACCAGGTTGCTGGTCATACTGAGGGGAGTACCGGGAGGTATACGCCATTCGCGATCGCCGGCGCGGTATACGAGCGTCTCGTCCGGGCAGATGCGGTGCAGCCGGTGCGAGATGGCATGGCTGAGACGGACGCCCTCCTGCACCACGCCCGTCAGGAAGGGAAGACGCTCGAGCACGAGCAAGCTGAGGGGCTGCGATGGATCGGGGATCGCGGTCTCGAGCTCGGCTTTGAGGCGCGAGAGTATGTCGGGCGTGGCGAGGACGAAGTACGTCGAGACGCCGAGCGCCCAGGCCGTGGTGATGGTACCCGCCGCTACGACGACTTCGCCCTCCTGCCAGAGCCGGTCCGTGGACTTGTCGTAGTCCGAGAGCTTGCTGTTCAGGATCTCGTGGAAGATGGTGCGGCGCGTCTTGTCGTACGCGTGCATTTGGTGGGCTTGTGTGATGTCGGCCACCTGTTTCTTCACACTGGTCTGAAGCTGGGAGTAGGCGCCCATGGCCGGGCTCAACTTGAGCAGCAGGGAGTCGGGCAGCTTGCGCAGCATGTCCATCAGCGAGGGAAAGTGCTTCAGAACATGGCCGGCTTTGCCGCCTTGAAGCATAGCATCTCTGAATGATGGATCAAAGTCAGCGGCCTGGAGTCGGTTCTCGCTTTTTCCAAAGGCATAGTCCTCGACAATATCTGAAGATTATATCTTAGTACGCAATTACTTTCTGGGCATTTAGCTGAGGGTGCTGACCGTTCGTGAGTGCAGCATAGGCATCATCAAGCTTAAGAGGGGCTCCGGACTGGGCAAACTCGCGGAGGCGTCCGAGGAGGATTCCCATATTCCGGTCTACCAGCGGTTGCAGGGCGCGAACGCTTTGCTTGGAGAAGTACGGCGATAGCGCCGCCCTGCGAATGCGGTGCTCATCATGGCCAAGAGTGCCGATCAAACTCTCGTCGACGCCGAAAGACCGGGTGATCCAGTCCCATTTGTCACGCTTGCGTCCGCTGCCAGCGTAGATGGTGTTGTAGAAGTCCGGATCCGCGATGTGAATCTCGTCGGGATTGATACGGACTATAGGGCCTGGTCGGGGATGAGTTCAATTTGACTCCCTTGATTTCCATGTTGGCAAAGATGACACTGACCATACTGCTTGTGCAATCTACCAATCTTGAAGGTGTACTCGGGCTCGGCAACTACATCGTACCAGAATTCATACCAGTATGTCCATGCTGCTAGCTTTGGGCCCGGAAAGTGAGAGATTGGGCTGAGGAAAAGGCGATACACAGTAACGTAGAGAAAGTAGATGATAGGGAACACGATGAGAGCCGCTGCCGCCAGCACCACCAATGGCCTGGCCGTCTCGACAGGAACGACGAATATCGACATGTCGGCTCAATCTTCGTTCTTCAGAAGAGACAGAGTAGCTGGGAAGCCCTATGGAACGGATATGGTATCTAGCTACGGCGACATGCTGCAAGCTTTTGTCGCTCAACAACAAGTCGTCTTGAGTTGTCAGCAATGTCGTCTTGGACCCGTTCACGTGTTGAGCTTGAATGCTGGGACCAAAATCCTACAGCAAGTCGAAGCATGCAGCCCAGTATTGTCTCACATAAGCCGGGGTCGAGATTGCGTGGAAATCTAACCAGCCTAAAAATGGGGGTCTACCCTTGTACACAGACCTTGATAATGAAGAAATTGCTCGTCAGCGTTGATTACAGGCCCTCGGATTCGTCTGCAACTGACCCTAACCGCTCGATAAGGCCGAGGCTTGCTGCCAGAGCTGCAACTGAGCCCTTAGTAAGCCCTAACGCAGAGAAATCTAAGTCAAGGCAAGGTATATCGACTTTATGGAGATGCTATTTACACGGCACTGAGGTGTTTGTGAAGTAGAATGGAGCTCTGCGTCGGTTGCGTGGGAGGGGGGGGAGGAGCCCTTCTGCAGGTGGATGCAGTGGGCTGGGCCGATCCGTCTGCTCCACAATCCCACACGGAAGGATTCGGGTTTGTGGAGCCCGCTGACGGGGTGGGCCTGCGTCGTCGGCGTCGCATTGTAATGTGCCCCGATTAGGCAGGCATGCCAATAGTGCGAGCGGCCCGCACTATTGGTGCCGTCTTGCCCGGAGTTTTTCCCCCGAGGGTCGTAGTGCCTTATCAACGTCGTTCCATGTGGCCTACAGTCAGCAGCTAATCTGCCTCAGGTAATGACATCGTATGTTTGGCTTTGGCCTGCATCTCTCGGCATGTCAGATGCCCTGAATCCAAGCTGGGAATCGATAAAACTAGTTGCCGAGATACCGAGTGGGAGGCGCACCAGTTGGCTGGGGAGACTGGGTTGAATTCTTTCCTTAGAACGTAAAGGATAATCGTTCAGCGTCAGATAGCAACAATTGTGTTCTCAGATACCATCAAACATTACACTTGTCCTGCACTTCCAACTTAGGCAGCCTGTCACATTGTTCAAGCTCGTCACCATGCCTCTGGAACGTGCCGATTTCGTTGGTGCCATATGGCTCACTACTCCTATTCTGGTCTTGTTGGGTTCCAAAACCCCGAGACACTTACGCTGGATCCTTTTGCTCCCTTTCGTGGGTGTTTGTCTACTTGTGGCTTTGGCTTTTCCCTTTGGCCCGGATATTGCAAAGAATTACACCTTTGGAACAGGTTGGGCACCAAACAGAACGTTCCATCAAGCTGATATCCTAACAGCATTGTCTCTTAGTCTTTTACGTCGCGTTGGTCAACTTCAACCTTCTTGTACTCGAAGACCCTTACTTGGAGCACAAGTGGACACAACCCACAAGCGATGGGAAGAAACCTCAACAGCCTTTCCACTCTCTCGGTGCATGGGACCAGATAAGATGGTGTTTTGATAATGCCTTCTCTACCAGAGGTATTGGATGGAACTGGCGGACTGCAACTCTACCTCCAGCTCCTGCTCCA